AGAGCAATATTACAGTGTACATCAATGGCATTTTGGTCATTATGCAGATGCAACACTTATTAATAATACGTGAAGACGGTAGTAAGAATACTTCATCAAGCTTAGCACATTAGTGGAGTAAATATTGAAAATTGGCTCAGTTTAAAGTTCAAAGTGTATCTCCGTAAAATTCACAGAGGCACTCCCACAAATATCGTGTTGTCATTTTAGTATTTTTATTTATTAAATCAGCAAACACATAACGGCCTACAGAAGTTGTTTAGCAATGCCATTTCAAAGTCAATGGTTGTAAGTTGAAACCTCAAGTTGAAAGTTTCAAAGCAAAAATGAAGTCCTTTTCCAGTCAGTTATTATAGTTCTAAAAATGTTGTTTGGCAATATGTTTCAAAGTCATTGGTTGTTATTTCAAACAGTCTCTCAGGTCGAAAGCTTTTTACATATTTTAAACGAAGTTTCATTTTTTCCAACAAGGAAGCTAAGTTGTTTGACAATGACATTTCAAAGTCATTAGTTAAGTTGAACAGTCTCTAGTTTAAAGTTTCTAAATAGCGAAAATATTGTCCATTTTCCAATCGGCAAACACAATAATGGCCTAATGGTTGAAAGTTTCTCAATAGCGAAAATAAAGTCCATTTTCCCATCAACGAACACATAATGCCCTAACCTCTTCATGTGATGTAGGCTTACAAAAGTTGTTTGGCAATGACATTTGAAAGTAATTGGTTGAAAGTTAAAACAGTTTCAAGTTGAAAGTTTCTCAACATCATTAAAGTCCTTTCTTCCAATCAGCAAACAAAATGGCATAATCTCTTCATTTGCGCTAAGCCTGCAAAAAGGCATTTGTTTCAAAGTCAATTGTTGTATGTTGAAAGTCTGAATTTGAAAGTTCGACAGTTCCTCAATAGCGAAAATAAAGTCATTTTTAATCAAAACAAACACATATCGGTCTTATTAAATTGCTTTGTCTGCTATACAGTAAGTCTAGAAAATGTATTTGGCAATGATATTTCAAAGTCACTTGTTAGTTGAAACAGCCTCTCATGTTGAAACTTTTTAAATTTTCAAAGCAAGATTTTCTACATCTGCCATAGGCCTAAAATTGTTAGCCAATGACATTTCAAAGTCATGGTTGTAAGTTGATACAGGCTCAGGTTGAAAGTTTCTCAAGTTTCTCTTATACACATCTAGATGTGTATAAGAGAAAGGTCAAAACTCATTGCGTAATTAAACTCTTCATCTGCTACAGGTTTACAAAAGTTGTTTGTTAATGACCTTTCAAATTTACTGGTTTTAAGTCGAAGAAGCAGGTTGGAGGTTTCTCAGTTCGCAAAGCTAAGTTCTTCTGCTATTGTAGCTGTTGAGCGTTCGTTTCCATGTTCTGGTGGTTCAATGACATCCAAAGGTATAAAAAAAAATCCGTATTGCTCTGTTACGCAAAATGAAAAAGATCCCCGAGTGGCAGTACACATTTCTGTTCTTGCCGTTTGTAAGTGTGTATACTTCGTTATTCGCCAACTGCCGTATCCATCTGCAGTAGGCCTTCTAAAAGATAGAAAGTTTAAAACGTTGGCCAATTCTCTGAAAGACCTCATTATTTTTTATGTCTTCTTGTTTAGTTGCTTATACGGTTGTGCTGTGGAACAGCTTCTGTTTGGTGATTATTCAGTTGTCTGCAAAAATGACATAACCGTACTTGATTTAATTTGTTTTTCATACACACGTTTCGGTCTAAGTATGAGGTACTTTTTAATTAATTGCATTACAATACATGTAATAATAGTAAAATTATTTACTAAATTGTGATTTATTTATTCATTAGTACATAATACTATGTAGTACGCAATACCGCCAGTTACAATCCATGAGAATGCAATAATTTGACATCTAAATACATCTATACAAATAAAGTTGATTAGGCCTACTTACTTTAATATTTAAAATACGATGATTGCTGGTGATGATTCCGATCCGTTAAAAAGGTTTGTTGGGGAAATTGTCTGTATTATAGGGGAGCCTATACAAATCAACAGTCTGGAGCTCGTTGATGACGACGATCAGAAATCCCCCTGCTGGGCTTGGCTAGCCGCTACTAGGAATAGAAGAAGGGCGATATGACTAGCTGCATATTCTTCTATTACATAATATTAATATTGCACTTAGCCTCAAATAATGTAGGCCAATACAACAATAATGTTGTATCAAAGACAAACTTGCGTCTAAGGGGGTCCTGGCTAACGGTATTAAGACGTATTAATGACTATATTTAATATAAACGGTTTGGCATTTCATACCTACAGTACAATTAAGGGCGACTTCAAACGTGAACTTCACCAATTACCAAGATGAACTCCTTGAGTATTCAACGCTCACTGTACATAGCACCTGTCGGTAAAACACAAAATTGTTTGTGGAAATACAGGTGTAAAAAACTGGATACGTATGCGTGCTGACTTGCATGAAGGTCTACCATAATTTGTATGTATTTCATACCTACAATACATACATACATATGTCTCTTATACACATCTAGATGTGTATAAGTGCTAGTGGCGTCATAAAACACCAGCTGATCCGCCAATAGTAGAACATGTTCGAGTTCAGCCTTGATCGTCCAATCATTTCTCCGATATCGTTTTTGAATCGATCGTATCCGTACATCCACGAAATCACCAAACACTCCAGGGTGGCATAGGTAAGAATGTTGAAACCAGCCGCGTATGAATCTAAAAGTCCAATCCAGTATACCCCCGCCTGTAGTGCCAAGTTAAAAAGTAAATTCAAATTAACGGTAGTCAAGAGCCAACGAAAAGGACATTATTATATTGTGTATACAGAGAAATAATAATCCAAACAAACGACAGGCCATAAATATTATGCAAATTTACAAATCTTACTGTCGAAAATAAAATAAGCCCTACATCAGGGCATCTTAAAAAATGCATTATTTCAAAAATTTACATAATTTTGCATAATTTATTTCATTAGCCAATCATAATTCGCCAAACGACTGTCCTTCAGACGATATTTCTAATCATTTTTCATACCTCAGTTACGCAGATGGTGCTCGCTAGAAACATACTGCAACATGCAACTAAAAGCACCCATGCCTTCTTGATTCGAAGCTCCGGGAAAATATCAGTAATAAATGTCACAATGGTCTCCATAATGGTGAACTAAAACAACAATATAATAGACGAAAGATTAATTTGAGGTTCAGTGACGTCACGTAGTTTGTGGGGCCCTGGCGCTGACTGTTATTGGGGGGCCTCATACATGCCAAGTTTGACAAATTTGCAGGCGTGAGACTTTTGTTCTAAAACCTCTCCCCTGGGGTGGGGTGTCCGGGCATCCCCCGAAATGGTTTTGTCCTAGGTACCCGGAATTGTTTGCTACTTTAGGGTTGTATTCTTACAACTGAAAATCTGTTAGGTATCCACATTTTTTCATGAGAAATGCATATTTCTGTCATCCACGATCGAATCTATCCTACTGACATGAGCCGCGCACGTGGCAGCTAGCAGTATGTTCTTGATGCTATTGATGCAGCTACTGTAGTTTGATCTGATCTGATCGAAAAACTAGTAAGAGGAATATTTATTTTTTTTCAGACAATTATCAGAATTTATCAACTAAAGAATACAAGAGATATCATGACAAAATAAATGCAAAATTATATGATAATAATGGAATTATGAAAGAGACATCAGAAAAAAAATTGAATAGGCCTATCTGAACATTTTTACGTTGAAGTCAAGCTCTTGTTTAAAGATCCATGAATTCAATTTTGTTAACTACAATGTTGGGGCCCCTCGTACCTGGGGGAACTGGCGCTCCGCCTCCCCGTTAGCGCCCGAGTGTGACGCCACTGTTGAGGTTAATCATTAATATATATTGTGTGGATTGGTAAGGAACGCGTGGCGTTAGATACATTAGTTCCCACGGTTCACGTCAATCATCCACTACGCTGTTAAACAACGTGTCAAATATAACAATACATTTGACAGTATAATTATTACTTGATTAAACAGTCAGAGCTTCATTAGCGGATGGATATTGGAAATCGACGCGTGAAAGGTATCATTAGTGGATGGACATTGAAATTCAATATTTTCCAATTGACCAATATGCACCAGGTGTTAACGCAGTAATCGCAGTTTCATTTAACATGTGATTAATACATTTTTTGAATCATAGTCATATCCACTTCATTTTAAATTTACGCAAATTAAACATTTCAAAAATATGTTTTTTAAACATTTCTTACCTGGCTATCAAGTCCCAAAGACAGTAGCATTAGGAAGAACAAGACGGCCCATACCGGTGCAAAGGGCATTCTCCCAAGGACATCAGGGTAGGCGATGAAAGCAAGGCCAAAACCTGAATTATTATTGTTGAACAACGATAATTGCAATTATAAGATATGTTCGAAAAATAATTTTCAATATTTAAGTTAGATGTGAAATAGTCATATTACTATTACAGTATGTTTGCTGTAACTTATTAGGTACTAAAGTATGACATGACATAACATCGAAAGTAGACCAGTAAACACTCCTCCCTTTACACCATTTTTTGCAGACTACTCTATATAATGACTTGTATCTAAATCCAATGGGTGTTATAAACTCGGAGGGAAATCAAAATCATTTAAAAATCCCCATTTAAATACATACAATATAAAAAATGATGAGTTATTAAAGTTTATTATGTTGAGCTTATTTGAAAATTATTAAAACTATTTAAATTAATTGATTACTCTGTACTTTGTATTAATTTTTAAATCTCTTAGATTACAATTAAATAATAGAGCGATAGTAGTGCATCGTAAGTAGGCCTATCGTACTTACCCTGATCAACCACCTCACTGACGTCACGGCCGAGTTCGTGTGCCATAAAGCCCAGAATGGAGAAGATGACGAATCCAGCAAATACACTAGTCACACAATTGGCAATTGCAATTAAAATCGCGTCGCTATCAAAAGAAAAATAATCTACAGTAACATTTATAAACTCGTCATCCATATAGTTTGCCTCAATGATCGAGGGTTGAGAGTGACAGACAGGTGACCGCCAAAATATTTCTGCGTTTAATTTCCTACATTAAATTTAATTTCTATACCATTTAATAGCAGATAAATGCGATCAATTGTGGGTCACTTCGGAAAGTTAAAAGATCGTTAGGCCCTACTATTTTAGTATGACTGTATTATTTAATAGTTTATACACATGGATTTCAAAATAAGGAAGTGGCTATTGTTATTTCTACACAAGTTTTAAACAAATTCTGAATTCGGATTGGATGTTATTGTATGTAAAAATGGATTAGTACAATAACACCCAATCAGAATTAGGAGTAAAGCCGTCACTTACAAGCAGCAGTTGTTGTGGAACCGGTTGTAAGAGGACAATGTAAGTAGACCACCCCATGATGCGCTAAGGGAGAAGAAGATTTGCACGGCAGCATCCATCCATACCTGTCAATGAATGAATGAATGAATCAACCAATCAATTAAACAAACAAGCAGTATTGAGGTGTAATGTACATTTAAAGTGTACTTGCAATGATATTAAGATGATGATGATTAAGATGGCACCTATGGATGGCCGGAACTCGCAGACTTAAATTTGAATATAATTTTCTTTTTTTTTCTCCACTTGAATTAAAACCTAAGTAAGCCAAACATTCTTGAAGTACTGCACCTCTTATTACTAGGGATTCAAAAATGTTAATGAGCTTAAATGCCAGCTGAAAATGAATGTTTAATTAAATTTAATGTTTTCAATAATCCATTTTATATATTATAATTTGGCCTTTCTTAATGGTTTGGTGTAATTATTCTTCTTTGTTTTCCATTAGAGACTTAATTAACATGAATGAGTAAATTTTAAGTTAAGTATTTTGGAAAATGTGTTTTATATAATTTTAACTTGGCATCCTTTGTGGTCCAGTATTTATTTGTAATAAAATAACTGATTATAAAGTGCTGAAATTAAAAAATTTTTTTAGCCTTCTTTGTGGTTTTAATGTACTTTTATACTTGAATTTGAATCATTTATGCGTCTCATTTAAACATGGTTGTATCTCATCTTATTGAGGTCCCTATGGAAAGCGGTGCTTACTCTAATTCAGGGGCTGTCTCTTATACACATCTAGATGTGTATAAGAGACAGTATATATATAATTTATATAATGTAATGTATATATAATATATAAATGAATATACAAATGAGATAAAGATAGATGAAGGCCCATTTTTTTGTTATAAATTTTGTTGGATAAATCAAATTCATGCATTAAAATGTTGTTGTGACAGAAAGTATTATTTTCATATTTAAAATATTTCAATTTATCAAAAGGCACAAATGGCAGAAACAGAAATTGTATGTGATGTAGGGCCTAAATGAAAATTTAGTAAAAATTAAAATGTTAAATTGATAGTGAAAAACATATATATAAAAAAAGAGTCATAATTAAAAATCTTTACCTGAAATACTCTTCGCTTGGTAGTTTTCTGAGTGCTTTGAATGGATCCGTATAATTTGACAAGTCCGTTACTCCAGTCGTTTTGTTGTATTCCACACGATAATACTCTTTAAGGTCCTCGGAAAGACTGGACACATCAACGCACGTGTTGTTATCGGTCATGATGCTATGACCAGTGCGTAAGCAGTCTTCATAGAGACCGTAGCACATGTCAGTGTTCCATTTGTGACCGCAGCCAATCCACGGCAGTGTGTTGGTGAATGAAGAAATTGTGTAATATATTGTATAAGTAAGAATGACGTTGTAGTAGACACCAATAAAGATTGACACCAGCACCATTCCATAACCAATGCCTTGAAAGTAAAATAAAACCCAAATTACAATTTAAAATAATAATAATAATAATTAAAAAAAAAAAAACAACGTACAAAAAATGAGGAAAAAAAACCGAACCATCACAAGACATAAAAAAAGATGCGCAGCAACGAAATGGATAACGAAACATGTCTCATTAAAAATTAGAATAAATAAAAACGAACAAAATAAAATTAAATACACTGTTAACATTGTTATTCCATTACCAATGCCTTGAATATAACATTTGACAAATAACACAACTTTCGGACAGTCTCTAGCTTTAAATCTTATTCTTTAGATGTGAAGGTATCAATTCATTCATCAATTGTATTTTGTTTTTAAATATGTTTTGGAAATGGATGAGCTTACAGTGGCATTTGTTCTCTGTCCAAACACGGAGATGTAGACCAACGAAAAGCATAATGCAAAAATGTATTAGAATTCTCATTTAAACATTAGAATAAGAATAAAACGAACAAAAGAAAATAATGAACAACATTTTTATACGTACTTACCTCGGAACATTGGTGCTATCTTCCATGACCCGGCAGGACCAGACCTGGAGAACTGCCCGATACACAATTCCAAACAGAAAATCGGGAGTCCAGCTACGAACAACATGATCGCATATGGGATCAAAAATGCTCCTAATTTAACACAAAAAATAGTTCTTTGAAATACTATCTACTTGCTGTCAATCCGCCGATCGATCGATCGATCAATCAAGAGATCGATAAATCAATTAATATGTAATCAATCAATTAATGAACCAGCCTATATCAACCAACCAAGTGCAGTCATCAACCAATCAGTTAATGAATTAGTCAATTCTAAATGTAATTTAGTTTTAATGTTAAAGGTTGAGAAATAAGGTAATATTATGTTGATTATCTAGGTTTTTGCATTTGTTTTTTTATGCCCAGTTTCTTTTTCGTGTAGGGCCTAAATGTAATAAAATAAAATAAATAAAACTTAATCATAATAATTATGCATTCAAACTGCAATTAAAGTTTTCAAACACATCAATACAGTTCAATTAAAATTTATCGAAGTTTTATTTAAAAAAAAATATGCCTGATATTGAATATAATATTGTCAATTATCTTACCTCCACCGTTTTCATAGCATAAATATGGAAACCTCCAGACATTGCCTAAACCGACAGCATAGCCCAAGCATGACAGAAGGAAGGCCGTTTTGCTTTCCCAAGTTCCCCGATCCCCCGAAGATGAAGATCCGGATGACAATCCACTCTCTACGTCATCGCTAACTTTGGACACATTGGTGGCACCGCCTACCTCTTGTCCATTGGCACCCTTGGCTACATGAGATCCATTGGCACTATTTCCTTCCTTAGACATATCGGGGGTAAAGACGCCCGTGTATGCGCCTATTTTAGTGTCAATATCTACTTTAGGCATATCGACACTTTTGCCTACATTATTAGGTCCATTGGCGCTGCTGGCCATATCTGACACCACTTGTGAACTTGGCACTGTGATGTCAGTGGAACTATGAGAAACAGATTCGTCCTCACGTTCGAACTTCAACGACGTGTGGACACCTTCAGTAGCCTGAATTTAGAAAATAAAATAATATACAAAGCATGGTTATGGTTATTTATAATAAGGTATGTAGGCCTATAAAGCTTAGATTTCTGTAGAAAAAGATTCCAATAAAACAAAAAAAATAAATAAACTTAATAAAGTCATATTAATGCCTTAACAAAGGTGTTCCGAATTAAAACATTAAAATCACCAAACTAATTACCGGCATTCTTCTTTTCTTTCTTTTTTTTTAACTTCCTCCACATCCACACTAGGCCTACAGGTCGTGAGAAAAAGTTAGGCTGTCACAGGAACTGTACCCAGGACCCTGGCAAGCATCTTAACCACTAAGCTATTCAACTCCAATTTAATTGCTCAAATACATTTATGTTACTGGGCTTATTGCACTGTGTCGATAGTAGGCCTACGAATGCATCCTCTATCCCTTAGGTATAACTGAAACCATTATTAATAGTTACATTTGAATAGGAACTAGGCCTATTTGTTTTTGAACTAGAACCATTTCAATTACAATTAACATTTCAGTCTAGGCTAGGCTGTGTCAAGATAATAATACTTGAAAGAAAGAGACGGGAAGGCATTGTTAAAAGCCAACGGACGCAGAATTGTTTAAAAAAAAAACTATATAAAATGAATTTAACAATTTCATAATAAATATAATACCGAAATTATTACATAATTATTTGGTGAGATTACAATTGGTATTTTGAACATAAACAGTTGCGTAGTAAAAGACAGTTCATTCTGTTGCCTCACATGCTGAGGTATTATAAATCTATTACTGATAAACGCCCTCTCAAACACGACACATCTCCAAACAAAATCCATTGACTGACAAAAATTTTACTCCATATCTTTACTGTGCTTAAGTTCATTTAAAAATGTAGCTTACCGGTCCAACTCGTCTACTATATTTAAATATTTTCCAACAAGACATTAAAAAATAAGGACTAACAACAATTTAGCGTAAATCTATATTTTAGGTAAGTATTACAGGGTAGTATAATACTCTTTCTATGGAATAAAGAGATCAGCGAATTGCCATCTTTATGTAAACGAACTTGTATGCTGTGGCTGAAGTTTCTACTCTGCGCGAACGCAGCAAGTACTTGTACCAAAGAACTTAAATAGCAGAA